CTCTCTTCAAGGCAGGGAACTTAGGGAATCCAGGGGCAGGGATGGGCCACCTACCGTTACACCAGTGCCTGTCATTTTGGGAGGCTGCCAGGCATTTACACGGCAGATCACTGGGCATGGGGACAACTCCAGCCCACAACCAAGTCATGGGACCGACTACCCACTGCCCAAGTGCCTCAAGTAAACATTCCTGCACTGCCCTTGCTGGTCTCGTGAGACAAGGAAGGTCAACTCACCATGCGGTCTGGACCAGGTGTTGGTTACGCTCACACTCTAACACCTGAAGGTACATAACGATTATCTGGAAGATATGGGTCAGGCAGTTATTACCAAGAACCTCACGAGAAGGGAACTCAGATCTTGTGGATATCCATGCAGCAAAAGAACCTCAATCTAGATCCCAGGGATGGCTCCTGGTCACGTCCGGCAAACGGCTCAGCTGGAGGGGAGCTCCTGCAGGTGCACCTGCTACCTGCTTCTGCAGCAGGGCAGCATGTATGCACCTCAGGACCAGCCACACCCTGTGGCACAGAAGGCTGTGCCTCCCTCGTGGCCCACGTTCATTCTCATCGCCACAACTTTTCCGCCAACGAGACTGGCCTGCCCTAAGCATCAGTGTGCCCCAGCAGCGAACATACAGAGCAGGGCACAAAATACTTCCAGCAAGTGAAGAAAAGCATTTAAGTCCTTGGTAGATAATTTACCAAGAATCTGAATAAATGTCAGAAAATCAAACACTCAAGAGAGAAACTACAATGAAACTCACCAATGAAAATTGGTAAGACTGAAAGGATAAACAGTAATCTTTCTTTGTTTGCTTTGAGGGGAGGGGTACCAGGGATTGAACCTAGGGGCACTCAGCTACTGAGCCACATCCCTAGTCCTATTTCGTATTTTATTTAGAGACAGGGTTGCTTAGTGCCTCACCATTGCCAAGGCTGGCTTTGATCTCACAATTCTCCTGTCTCAACCCCCTGAGCCGCTGGGATTACAGGCATGCGCCACCACACCCAGGCCTTTTTTATTTTTATCTTGAGACAGGGTCCCACTAAGTTGCTTAGGGCCTCACTATGTAACTGAGGCTGTCATCCTCCTGCCTCAGCCTCCCAAGCTGCTGGGAACACAGGCATGCGCCACCACACTCGGCAATGGTAATCTTTTTAAACAATTTTTTTTGTTTGTTTAGTACATGAAATGCCTACAGTGCTTTGATTAAACTTAAAATACAACAGCATGCTCCTAACCAACCAATGAAGGTTGCAAAACTTGAAGTTCATCTTAAAGCAAAAGAGTTCAGAATTCTTCCCATTCTCCCATAAAAGAAAGTGAGGCTATTACTAAGGTGACTTTAGAAACCTAACTGCTCAGGAAAGAAAAATGGATGCTGACAAATTTTATTTCTACAAGTTCACCACTGTTTTTCTGAAAACTGAAACCTAAAAAATACAATTTCCAAAACTCTTTTAAAATGCAACTAGAATTAATAGCACAAGAATAATCATCACTTGCAAGGTTACAGCTATGACCTGGAAAACTGAGTCAGGGACATAGGTCATCTCCAGCGCTTTCAGCCTCAGGGACATGGGGGGTAAAAACCACCTTATACCCACCTTGTGAGGGTGCTTCACGTGGACACAGAAGCCCAGCTCCTTGAGGACTCGCCTTTCTGCCTTTATGATCTGGTTCTTCAAGTTGACATAATCTTGATCCAAGAGAAGAGGCACAGGCTTCCTGCAAGGACAAAGAACATGGCCACATAAAGATTAGACAAAATAAGATGTTCTGGGGTTGCACATGTGGCTCAGTGGTAGAACACTTGTCTAGCAAAAGTGAGGCCACAGGTTGATCCCAGCACTGCAAAAACAAAAACCCTCAGAAAAACAAAAAAGCAACACCTTTCAGGGTACACTATCACCCCCAAGAGGGAGAAATCTAATATAAACATCACCACACAAGACACTAGATGAAGACTCGCTTCCTTTAACAAAATTATAGAACAGGCTTCCAACTCCAGAGCCAACCTACTTATCCCTTCTCTACAACCTGCCCCATCCTGGTTGATAAAAGGCATTCTGGTGCATAGACAAACACTGCCTGAATGCAACGAGGTCTAAAGATGTCATTGCACAGATACTAAAAGTTAAGAGCTCAGTGGTACATGCCTGCAATACCAGCAAACTGAAAGCTGAGGAAGGAAAATCACCAGTTCAAGGTCTCACTTAGTGAGACCCTGTGTCAAAACAAAACATAAAAAAGGACTGGGGAGGGCTGGAGTTGTAGCTCAGTGGTAGAGTGCTTGCCTAGCTTGTGTGAGGTGCTGGGTTCGATTCTAACACCACATATAAATAAAATAAAGGCACATTGACAACTAAAAAAATATTGGGGGCTGGGAATATAGCTCAGTTGGTACAGTGCTTGCCTTGCCAAGGCCCTGGATTCAATACCCAGCACAAAAACAAAACACAACAACTAAAAAAAAGAAAAGGACTGGGATGTAGTTCCGTGTTAGAGCACCCCGGGGTTCAATCCCCAGATGTTGGCAGTGGTGAGGACGAGTCCCTGCTCTGGAGCACTCAGGCCCACACAAGAGACAACACATCACAGCTGTGAACTGAGGTGGGCCCTCCTCCATTCCTTGGGGGATCCTGGCTGATGGGAGCACACTAGCAATCATCCACAAGGACACAGCCTGCCATCTGGAACTGTCACAGAAACGGTAGTGACCGGGCACTTGTGACAACCCTGAAAAGACTCACTTTTTTTCTCTCAGGTGTCGAAGGCGATGAAACACATTGATGACGTCCCTAATTCGTCTCGGCGCCTCTTCTATTTTGGAGGCCAGGTGCACGCAGGCCATAGACACATGCTGAAAGGAAGCATGGAGACGCGGCGGTCTGTTCCCATCCTGAGGTCCGCCCAAGGCCGAGGGGCTACTAGGAGAAGTAGACACAGAGGCCGCGGCCTCGGGGAGGGCCGCACCGGGGCTTCCCGGGCCCCAGGACGAGCCCACCGGCAGGCGGCGCAGGCCGGAGGGGGGCCTACCTCCATGGAATGCTTCACGAAGGACTTGGTGTAAAAGAAGCGCTGGAACAGCACCTGTCCCGTAGCCATGGCCACCTAGACGGGGAAGCTTCCGTCACTTTTGGACGCAGACTCCAGAGCTCCGCACTGAAAGTCACCCCGTCACGTGGGGCTCCCCTCGGGGCCAGAAACTCAGCCCTCCTCCACGACCCAAAGGCTCCCGGCGGCCCGCGGTCTCAGCGCCCCGACCCCGGGGAGG